TAGCTTCTCTGTCTGGATTCAGGTGCAGGTGGAAGAGACAGGAGCAGCATTGGCACTGGTGATGTGGCCCTTCCTAACCACAGCGATTATATATTAGTTAACAGCTGACCTTCCTTCCAAAGTAATTCTTTCTCCTAAAATGTTAATTCCTGATATTTTTGAGAGAGAGAAGGATTTTAGTGCTAGCTGGAGGGCGAAATGGTGAGGAAGAGCAAGAAGTGTGGGAGGGCGGAGGAGCTGAGTGCTTAGAGAATTGGGAATGGTGACTGGTTGACCAGCCACCTGTCTCTCAGTATCGCTCTGCTCATCTGTCAGTTGTCTTATTGAAAGGACAAAGGCAGAGTTGGGGACCAGCTATCCCCTTCACCACAGGACTGCAGTGGCAGCCATTCTAACTTTCACTTGCTTGTTAGAGCTGGGCACAGTGGAACCAGAGGTGGCCATTCTCTCTTGCTGAATATGACAAAAGCAGAATTCCCGCTACGTGGAGAGTCCACCTTGCAGCAGAGCAGTAGCAGCTGGAGGAAGGAAAAGCAGTGTCAGCAGACAACTAAGTGGCCTTACCTTTTTCAGGGTGGTATTGCGTTCCCAATCTGAAGCCAGGGAGTCTCATGGGGAGTGTTATATTATCTGCACTGGCAGCTCCAGCAGAACCTTCCTGATCTGTACTTCAGTAAATTGCAAACATGGAAATCCAATGTGGATTTGTAGTCTATCTAAGTGCAAATTAACAAGGTGCAGTGAAAATTTCCTAAAGGAGGCCAATTGGGTTTTGTAGACTGGATTGTTCAGGAGCAGTAGCGTAGTTGAGGGCAAATGCAGGTAAACAGAGTTTATCCCTTTCTCATTTGGGGAACATGGTGTTTGCCACTGCCCAGCCTGGAACAGCAGAAAGGTCAGTTTACCCATTTCTCTTTTTTACCATTACACCACTGCTCAGCAGACTGCGAGACACATAGCTTTTGACTCTGGGTCACTGATTCAAATGTGACCCAGGTTTATTTGAAAACTTGTTACCGTTGGCTGTTTGGTGACCTCTTTGCCATTAATTGGTGGTCAGTCCAATGACTATTGTTTTGATTTTAGAAGCCAAACAGTCCTGGGCCTGGCTAGAACTTGGGTGGGAGAATACCTGGGAATCCAAGATACTGCACGCGGTCCAGTGACTCTTGTTCACATACAAGTAGCAAAACATCTTAAGGTCCATTTTAAGGTTTTTACTCAGATAAAAAACTCCTGGTGACCATACCAGGAAAATTACCAATCCTTGATTGGAACAATTGTTAGCAGTTCCAGAAGATTGAATTACCTTCTGTGTTCATCCAAAATATGCATGCAGCATCATTGATTGCTGTGTGACCTGGGACAGCTCACTTCACCCCTGCCTCAGTTTCTCCATATTTAACATGGGGGTAACCATTAGAGCTGGAGAACAACCGCTCCATTTTGTGACAACTTTCAAGTTTTTGATGTTTTTTTCCCCTCATTTGAATGAAAAGAAAACCTTGAATATTTTCATGAAAATGGAATTGTGTTGAACTGTCCATTTTTCAAATACAACACCTCCTATTTCAGTAGGAGGTGTTGAAAAGAGAGTAAGAGTATGTCTGCACTACAAACAGTCAGCTGCAGCACTGAAGCTACTCAACTCTAGCATAGACACTTACTATGACGACGGAAGAGGGTTTTCCATCACTGTAGTAAATCCATCCCCTCAAGCCTATGTCGACGGAAGAACATTTTTGTCGACCGACAGTTGTCTATTCCAGAGCTTAGGTCACCTTAACTATGTCTTTCAAGGGTGTACATTTTTCATACCCCTGAGTGACATAGCTAGGTTGACCTAAGTTTTAGGTGCAGACCTGCTGCCTGTGTGTGTTGGGTGAGGAGGTTAGGCTACTGGCGTGAGATGTAGAAAATCCAGTTTCAAGTCCCTGTTGTGGGAAAATGGTATGTTTGGGGGGAAATGTGTCACAAAAAAACAAAAACTTGAAGGGTCCTGAACTTCAAGGAGGGTTTCAGTTGTTGAGATACAGTTCCCTTGTATGCTTACCGAAATGTACACAGCCATTTTCTTTAACTTATTTGTTTGTTTTAGCTGAAACATTTTCAGATTTCACAGAGAGCTCACTTGAAAGTTATTGTTTAGTTATTTGCATGTATGGAGATGGAGTTTACATGCTGCACAAATGCTTAAAAATGATTGCTTGGTAGTTTCCTTGAGGCTTCTAAAGCACGTCTGTCTTGTGTTACCAATGACCACCTGCAGATGCTTTCTAGTTCCCAGATAGAAACAGCTGAAGTGTCACAGAAACTGACTCATGTAACGTACAGGCAACAATTCTTAATTCTATAATTAGCTTCAGGCAGGCAGACAGCTGGAAAGATTTTTGCCAGTTTTTGTTAGCTTATTTTGGCAGATTTTTATTAAAATGAAAGCTGCTCATTAAAATAACTTAATTCTTCTTGGAGTGCTTGCATGTGTCCGTTCCACTTCAGGTGTCTGCGCACCAGTGCGTTGGAGCCAGAGGACTTTTTCCCATAGCGGTTCCCATCAGGGCAGCATCCTTGTGCTGCCAGACGAGAATAAAAAGAGTCCAGGGCTTTTCATCCATGGCACTGTGTTACAAGATCTCCATCCAGGCACTGTTCTCTACCCGCCACCATCTTTGGTACCAGTACTGGTACCTAACGAAGTGTGGATGCTATCCCTTCCAGTTTCTGACCCTCCTGCTCTAAATGCTGGGTTTCAGAGTCATTCTCACTCTTTATTTGACCAACTAATATTTAATTAAAGTGAAAAAACTTCAGTAGGAGAGATTGAGGAAGATCTACCTCCCATAGTCCAGTGGTTAAGGTACTCAACCAAGAGATGGTTCAAATCTCTTCATCAGGCAGAGAGGGGATTTGAACTAGGTGTCTCCCATGTCCCAAATGAGTACCCTAATCACTGGGCTAAAGGGAGGTTCTCCGCCAGCTGTTTTGCAGCCTCTGAGTTAAGCAGCCTCTGAGCACACTACTGGATTGGGCCCTGCATGTGACTAAGGCGGAGGAACATCTATCTTCCCCTGTTCGTGAATCACTACCAGAGATAAGCAAACCCTTGCAATCCAAATTTAGACACCTGTCTCTGTGAGATGGGGCTTAGCACACACCCTTCTTGTTGGCATCTTCCATTGGCTAACTTAGATGGCTTCCTTTGTAGAGCGCAATCTAAGGGATGTGTCTCTCCTCTGTATTTGTCACTGGTACAACTGCTGCTGGAATCCTGTGTCTAGTTCTCGTGTCTACAATTAAAGAAGGATGTTGATATATTGGAGATGGTTCAGAGAAGAGCCATGAGAATGATGAAAGGATTAGAACACTTGCCTTATAGTGATAGACTGAGGGCATGGCTACACTTGCAGATGTAGAGCGCTGGGAGTTAAACCAGCCTTCGGAGACCGCAGCAGGGAAAACGCTGCTGTGTGTTTACACTGTCAGCTGGAAGCACACTGACGTGGCCACCTTAGTAGCTCTTGCAACATCTCAAAGAGCAGTGCACTGTGGTAGCTATCCCAGCGTGCAAGTGGTTGCAACATGCTTTTCAAATAGGGGTGGGGGGTGGAGTGTGACAGGGAGTGTGTTGTGTGTATATGGGGGGAGAGACAGTGTGTTTTGGGGTGCAGAGAGTATGTCAGCATGCTGTCTTGTAAGTTCAGACAGCAAGAGACCCCCCCTCTCCCGCTCCCCCGCCCCGCCTCTCTCTCTCACACACAGCATTTCACAGTAATGGTTTGCTTTGTCCCGGAGCAGATAAGCATGCCGGGTGTCAGAAACAGAGCTTTGAAAGGGGATATCTGCATTCCTGCAGATTTCAAAACAATGACAAGAGTGGCCACTTGACTTCAGGGGATTATGGGACATTTCCAGAGGCCAATCACAGCGCAGTAATGCAACATCTCGTTCACACTGACGCCCAGGCATTTCAGCCAGCTTTATGCTTCTCATGGAGGTGGAGTACCAGGAATGCTCCAGCTGCAGAGTCCAGGCGCTCTACATGCCTTGCCAGTGTGGACACGTTAGGGGGATCAGGGCTGCTTTAATGCGCTCTAACTTGCAAGTGTAGCCAAGCTCTGAGAGAGCTCAATCTAGTTAGCTTGACAAAGAGAAGGTTAAGGGGTGAATTGATTACAGTCTATAAGTACCTACATGGGAATAAATACTTAATAAGGGGCCCTTCAGTCTAGGCAAGAAAGATATAACACAATCCAATGGCTGGAAGTTGAACCTAGACAAATTCAGACTGGAAATAAGGCATAACTTTTTACCAATTAATGTAATTAACCATTGGAACAACTTCCTAAAGGTTGTGGTGGATTCACCATCACTGGCAATTTTTAGTTCAGGATTTGATGTTTTTCTGAAAGATAATTATTTTGGAACGGTCTCTGGCCTGTGTTGTAGGAGGTCAGAATAAATGATCACAATGTTCCTTTCTGGTCTTGGAATCTGATGTGGACATTTCCTTTCTTTTAAGAGTTTGGATGGGTGGGTGATTTCATTTAGCAACTTTATCTGGCTTTTAAAGAATCCTTTTCTTTGTGGGAATACAGCTTTATGCTGCCATTTTTGAAACAATTGTTCTACCATGTAGCTTCCAAAATCATAGATATATATATTTCTTTTAGCTTGCAGAATTAAAATAGGATTTAACGGTAGAAAGTGATACAATAACTCATTTATAAAAGATTTTATTTGCTTGTTAGTCCATTAATTGGATGGATTTTTGACTTCGTATGTTCTGATTCTCACTGTGTTTCACCTTTTGTAATCCATTGTGAACTGTAATAGTTTTAAATGTATATTTGGCTGAGGAGAGGCCAAGATACCCGTGTAGTTTAGGCAGCTTTTAATACTAATGTTCATTTTCATATTACGTTAATTTATTGATTTATTTTAAGTACTCTGCGATGTGTCCCGGTTTCCAAGTTTTAATACCAAATTGTTTCTTTTTTCAGTTGATCTAAAAAAAGGCCCGTGCCCAAATGCTGCAAAATCCAATCTCCCCAAGCCATGTCAATCTGGACTTCGTCCTCCTGGCTATTCACGCTTGCCAGCAGCTAAGCTGGCAGCATTTGGTTTTGTCAGGAGCTCGAGTGTATCCTCTGTCTCAAGCAACCAGTCAAATGACAGCGTTCAGAGTGATCAAAGCAGAACAACCAACCGTAAGTCAGAGAAAAAATGTTCTGTTTTTTAATATTAAAATGTATCCCAAATATGCTCAAAAGGGAGCCTGGATGGAAGGGTTATTTTAATCCTCGTGACACCTTAACAGTCTCTTCTGTTCCATAAGGTTAGGGGTTTAGAATTCTGATTTTTCCCATTTGAAAATGTTTAATAAATAATGATCGATGAATAATTACTAGAGATAAATTGCATAGAGGGGATTGCTCTCCCTATTGCAGAGGAAATTGCTTTAAAGGATGCACTTAATTCATTTTTGTACTCTATTTTTACTTATTTGGAGAATTTTCCTTCTTAAGTAAATAAATATAGATGTATTGGGTCAGCACACTGCAATCCTGGACAACAGGCATTTTAGGGGGAAAATTATATGCACTGAATAGTGTATTCTTTCTCATTTACTATTTTTCTGCACATCTCTTAATGTGTTGTGTGCTAAACTAGGTTGAGAAAGTTAATCAAATAATGCGAGGGGTACAAAATAGGATCAGAATTGGTTTCTTAGCCGTGGTCTCTTCTCCAGTCTTGGAAAGATCCCTTGGCTGAAATGTCATCTCAAATCCTATTTTCTGTAGCTAATGTTAATTTTATTAAGTACTAAATAACGCCGGCTGGAGTGTGCACTCTTTGTGACATACACACACGCCATGGGCTCAGGACATAAATGGAGATTGAGGATTTTTAATGCCAGTTTTTCTTTGAAGACTGGTTTCAGCCTGAACCATGTCAATTTCAAAGCAACTGTTATCAGCCTTGAAGTGGTTCAAATTGAATGTGCCAGATTGCATAAAATTCCAGAGGCTTTAGGATGCTGTTGGGTCCTAAATCTTTTAGATTTTATATTAATTTTTAAATGAACTACAGTAAATAAAAACAAAAATACACAAAAAATCCTCAGGATTTCTTCTTCTTTGCACCTTTTTATATGGGGTCATTGAAATGTAGGAGATTAATGCATCTAATGAGTTCTGACACACACAGTGGTTTTGAAAGCTAAACGTATCTTAGAATCCTTATTACACTGTTGGACTCCTCTTTATTCTTACCTGTCTCATAATGAATGTTCTTTTGTTCTGAAGTTTTTTGCCCTAATTTTGTGTGTTCATAAAATTTGTCTTTTATCAGGTACTATGGCCTTTGTAGGGTGGCAAAAAACTCATGTCACCACTGATTTAATCCAAGCTACTATGTTTCAGCTAGAAACTGTGTGCGTACAGCTGTAATACAACCTTAGTAGATATTGTTGATATCTATAATTCCAACCTCTTATATTAGAATATTTTCATTTTGGTAAATTCTCTGAGTAAGATTCTCAATTCCAAAATATGGAGTCCGTTGATTTCAGTGCAGTTACTCTGGATTTACGCTGATGAAAATGTGATCAGAATCTAGCTTTGTGTGTATCCCAAGGAGTACAAAACCCCATAAACTTTGGAAGAAGTATATAGTCATATGAAATCCAGGCAATTGAGTCCATGTTTTGGTGAGTTTGAAATACAGAGGTAGTTCAGTTTGTATGTAGTGATGGACTCGGTCCACAACATCTGGATCCAAGTTTCCAACACCACAGTTTTTGTGGAGATGTTTGGATCAGAGATTTTGATTCAGACCATTTGATTAAAGATTGTAACCATTTGTACAAGTCAAACTTAGATTCGTGTTAGGATTTCTGAACAACTCCAAAGTTTGTGTGTTTGGAATTGGGGTTTTGGCTGGACCCATCTGTAACTATTGGTGGTTACCTATCACATACTGAGTTTGTGACTCATGAGCAGGGCCAAAAATAGAACCTTATCAGCTCCCATGTCTGCCAGGGCCATGCTGTTGCCCACAATCAGACCACCAGATCACTTTTTGCATTTGAGAAGTGTGAAGAACAGTCTTCCCCTCATCTGAATGCATGGAAAAATCCTTTTCTTGAAGGACAGAGAGGTGAGTTTTGTATTGCCGTATACATCTTCCAATCACTGTGTCTGTACATGAGATGTATAGTAACCAGGAAATTTCTGGACTAGAAGCAAAACTTACTTTTATTTTGCCTTCAACCCAATATGGATAATGGGTAACACCCTTCTCTCCCTATCCCTTAAACTTGGTCAGATGGATTTCTTTCTAAATAAATAACTAAATAACTAATAGGAGATATTGCATTTTATTTTCTTACTGTTGAATAATTAACTGTAATAGAAATATTATCAAACTGCAACTCCCAACTCCTCCTGAATATACTCTGTAGATCAAGGAAAGTTGAATCAATGGTATCACACCTAGTGTGCTTGAATTAGACTAAAGTTTATTCTGTTCCAGTGAGGTTTGTATTCCACCAAGGTCACCGAGGTACCTGAGCCTATAGCATAGAACAAAAGAGTAGTGGTGGGAAGGAAACTATATAACAAATCTTAACAGGACAAATGATTTATTTTCCCTTGCTGTCCATTGGAAGAGTAGTTTGAATCCACAACTCCCAGATGAGTGCCTTAGTCACCAGGCTGTAGAGTCTTTCTCATTGCTTTTGGTTATTGGCACAATGAATATTTAAATATTTATAAAACATGCAACAGTTTCAACAGGAGAAATTAAGAGTGACCCACCTTAGAATAGCCGATAGCCTTGTGGTTAGAGCCCTGGCAGTGGGGAGATCAGAATTTAAGGACTTGCTGCAGAGTGGGGAATCAAACCTGGGTCTCCCCCCAGGCCCAGCAAGTGCCCTACCCTTTGGGATATAGGTTATAAAAGGATGCACACTCACATAGTTTGCTGGTCCTGAAAAACTTTTCCTTGGGCACAGTTGTCAGGTTAAATTCACAAATAGTTTTGGGTCAGCCGATATTTGCAGTTTTTGGTAAATAAACTCTTTGGCCAAAAAAATCACGCAGCTCTACCTTTAGTTACGAGGTCTTTCCTGTGTGGGGTACCACAGAGTTCTGTTCTCTCACCCCTCTGGTGCTTCATGTAAGTTAGGCTGCTATGCGAGATTGTGTGAGAGCTTAGGTTGCATTACCCTGAGTTGCTGGTGACACTGCTCCAGGGGGGCAGATCAAGTTGTAGGGGAGCAGCTCTGGTGTATGCCAGTGGAGGAGCAGGCATAGTGGAGTTGTGCTTCCCCATGATCCTGCCGGCTTCTCTGCTGGGGACAGAGAAGTGACTGGCATCAGCTGGGGTAAGGGGTGTTGAATATAAGAGGCTGGGGGAGGCTAAGCCTCCCCAAAAAAGGCCGGCCATGCAGGAGGGCAAATGCCACAGATGCGGCGTGGGTCACCTCCCTTTGGAGGTGCTCCAGCCCGCCACCTTTGGAGCGCCGGAAGCGAAGTTCCCTAGAAGTGTGGGGAGGCACTGGCGCCCAGACAGTGGCCCTGCCCCCACTCAGCCTCTTCCCCCATGGCCCCGCCCTGCCTCTTCCCCTGTGGCCCCACCCCACCAGCTGCTCACTTCTCTCTGTGGAGAGGAGCGAGTGGCGGGTGAGGGGGGTCCTCGTGGGAAGAGGTGGAGAGGAGCGGGCAAACCAGGGTGTGTGTGTCTTGGGGGAGGAAACAGATGCGGGAGGGGCTCGCATGTAAGTCTCCCCGAATGGAAGACTCACGCACCACCTATGGAGGGGGTAAAGTCTCTCCACCAGCTTTCTATTGGCAGGAAGTTTCCTTGAACAGGGGAATTCTGCACTGGCCATCTCCGGCCATTTTAAATCCACTTTGTGCTGCTTACAGGCAAAGTGGATCAAGCACACTGGTGAATCTGGCCCAATGTCTCCATTAAATCAAACTTGGATGGTGCGATCATACAGCTTTCCCAGTGGCTGGCTAAGACTGGAACTTGGGTGGGAGCTAGCAGCTATCTGAAGCTCATTCTGGGCAAGACTGAGTTGTTGCTGATGTTGGCACAACTTCTTTCCAGGTTAAAATAAATATATGGAGATGTACCTATCTCATAGAACTGGAAGGGACCCTGAAAGGTCATCAAGTCCAGCCCCCTGCTTTTACTAGCAGGACCAAGTACTGATTTTTTCCCAGATCCCTAACTGGCCCCCTCAAGGATTGAACATACAATGCTGGATTTAGCAGGCCAATGCTCAAACCACTGAGCTATCCCTCCCCCCCAGGTTGAGTGTGGAAGCTCAGGACCACAGACAGATCAGGGAGCCACATTACTGCACACACCAGGCGCTGGTTAGAATGTTCTGCCATGTTCAAATAAAGTTAGTTTAATTGTTAAAGACAAACTCTCTCTGCCTTACTGAGAACAACACAGCTGATGGATTGGGAAAAACAACCAGAAGAATGCAGAAAGTGATATCTGTCCATTAGATTTTACTGGTTTGGCCATCTTTTGTAACTCAGATTTGCTATCTGTGCCCTATTGACTGCTCATCTATACTTGACAAGGAGGTTGCAACCTTCCCTGTTAGATACAGAGTTCCCACACCAGGGTTATCCAAGTGTTCGTCACCTCCAGGTTGGATTACCACAATGCACTCATCACAGAAGACTAGTTGGAGTCTTCTGCTGGGATAGAATGTGGTTGTCCAGTTAAGTCCCAATACTGTACTGAGATGCTCACAGGCATTCTCCTGTGGTCATACAGAGCTCCATTGAAATGAGTGGGTCTCTGTGGGGGGGTGAGATCTGTCTTTGAGCACACTTGCAAGATCAGAACCCATATTAGTGTTTCATGCAGGGAACATGTTATCTCTGAGCTATCTACTCTGCAAGGGTTTCAGATTAGTTTCTGGATGCAGTTAAGATGTTAGTTTTATTCTCTGAGGCCTGAGTATTTTAGGCTAGACTTATAGTCTGAGCATGTGATTCCCGTGCTCGTGTGCACATACTTACACTAGGTCTCACAGAGCTAGTGAGTATAAATAGCAGTGTAGCTGCGATAGCACGGGTAGTGGCATGGCTGAGCTTGAAACCGAAGGGTATGTACTTGGGAAGCCTCTGCTGCTACTCATGCTACTGTGACTACACTGCTATTTGTACTCGCACTA